GCTCGTTTTCGTTCAAGTTTTGTTTTTCGGCTGATTAAAAGTTTGTATGCCACTTCGAAATTTTCAATGTTTGGAATATTAACAGATACATTGCCATTGACTACATTGAGCAAACATTCACATATAACTGAAATAACTTGAGGATTTGTTGTTTTTCTAATGAAGCTTCGGAGCTGGCTGGGATTCAATTGTACCATGTGCTGCAGAATAGATAATTTTTTCGCGTTCATTTGTGAGAGGTGTAACCTCTGCCTGATTTATTGGTAAGTAAAAAATTGAGGGACCAGGTGGTGTAATATTTGAACAATATCTCAAACAATCGGATGTACGCGGATCCAAGTCGATTAAAAGATGACCGTATGTGTCTTTTGTAGCGAGCTGATAACAGTGTCTCAAAAATTTAGTGTTGTTCAATTGTCTTCCAAGATGATCAAGTTGCTGAATATCACGAGGTGATTTGAACAGAATGAAGTGTGATGTGTTTAAATCAATTGTTCGAGACCATCTGCTTTGTTGGAACAAATTATGTTTAACATATATTACATCTAGTCCTCGGTGTCTTCCTGCTGTCGCAAGTTTGACAAAGTCTTTATCGTTATAGATTTCTTCGCATGAATCATCAAAAACAAGAAGAATGTTTTCAAGGTTTCGCAAACTGTCAAAGCCATTGAATTTTATGAAAGTTAGATCAATGCTGTGGGTATTGGATTTTTCACTATAAAGAGGCTGAATCTTTTTGTAAAAGTATAGGGCTCTTTGAAATTTGGGATAAAATGTTTTTCCTTTCAACAATTTGAATATCAGCTCTGTTTTTCCAGAACCCGAGGGGCCCACGATGGCTAAAAAAAGTCTCGTAGATGTATCAATAACTTTATTCATATTCTTGGATTTGGTAATACATAACCAACTAAACCCGATAAAATTGAGAACCAAACTGAGGTTTCTTCACAAGTTAACTGCGTTAATGAAAGTTTAAAGATGCAAAAAGCCAATAAAGTCAGAATTAACACCATTTGTGACATGAAAACTACTTCAGACCGTGGTACAGTCACGTTATTGCAAAATTTCCATGATTTTTTCTCCATATGATTTTCGTCATACACAAAATCGGTAACTATAGTTCCATCAGTCTCGTCAACTACTGTTTCATTCATTTCAATTTCCCTACCGCTTTCTCTCACTCTCGAACTTGCAGAATGAAAAATATATATCATACATAAAAAAATTAATTAAGCATCTGAACAGTAATAAATTTCATATCGTGTATAACCTGTATAGACACTCGGTTTATTATCATCATCAAAATCATAGTGCATTTCCAAAACATAATTGGCTGGGACATGATCAGTTTTGGCATGATACACAATTTTCTTCACAGAATCTTCTCTTATTATTTTTTGAATCTCATTGGATAGTTCACTGCTGGTTAGATCCATTTGAACTCCTGGTTGACGTTTGGGCACTAAGACTAGCTTGGGAAGACAAAGACCGCGCTTACTGGGTAACATTACTGATGTATTTGAATCGTTGAAAGTAGATGAAGTGGTCAATCGCGGAGAAGAACCTCCTCAAAGTGCACAACTCTTCTTCAGAAAGTGTAACTTGTTCTTTTCGTTGAACTACTTGGCCTCTACAATCAATGCGTTCAATCCTGGTCAATGAAATCTTTATGTTACTTTCTGGTGTCATCCAAGCACAAAGAACTGAATTTGGAGATATGTATGTCTCCACTTTCCCCTGACGCTCGTTGTTGACACTCATTTTTCAACCAATCAAAGAACGCTTTCGACTTTTTTAATGCACAATGACTTTTAGAGTTATGGTGCGGTAGGTGTTTGTTACAATTCACAAAATTCTTGAAATATAATTGTTCGACTCGTGGACAGCCCAAATCGTCAAGATTCACAACTTTGCGGTCTAAGTATTTGGATAAAAAATCAGCTTTTTCTTTTCCTTTGGCGTAGAATACAGCATTGGGGTTTCTTAAGACAAAACTTTGAATGATTTGGTTCAAATTCAGGTATAAATAATCACCGCTATCCCAATGAAGTCCGTGCAAAAATTTGTCAGCCAGTTGTAGGCTTTTTGTTCAGGTTTTGGAAGGGAATTGAAATTAACTGGAGGTAGAAAAATTAGGGAATCACTGTAGTCGGAAGTTGTTATAGCTAATTCTTTTACTATAAATGTGTTTTTCTGGTGTCGAAATTCCTCAAAATCCAACACAACTGATTTTTCCTTCAGCATTCTAATAAATGGTAGAGTTTCGGTTTCTTCAGTTTGATATACAAACAAAACGTAATTCCACTCAAGTGACCAATCAAACTACTGTTGCATTTCTATGGTAAAACATAGCAGTATGTGGGACCAGTGTTATAAACTTTGCGGACAAAACCGGCGGCATCGTGTAAAATAGCATGCATTCGTAAAATTTTCGAATCATTTAAATATTTATCCAAAAAGAATTGTCTATACCGATCAGACCCCCATAGGGTCTCAACTTGATAGCAACATCGAAATTTATATCATTAGTAGTTGAGAAGAAGAACATTGAACATGCAGCTAAGAAATAATTTCGACGGTTAGTGTTTTCCGGATAGGTTTTTTTCAAAGTAATAAAATTTTCATGAATAATTTCCAAGTCTTTTGAAGTAACTCTACGTTTTTCCAATTTCATTTTTTTAAATTTTTTTCCAGAACTTCTCCGACCTGCTGAATTTCAAGCCAGTGGAAATGAAAGTAACCTTCTAGATACCACTTACTCACTCCTATTTCTAACTAATGATTTCAACCTATTTTCATGTGTTTAGATGGATATTCCCCTTGGTGGTCTCCAAGAGTCACCCATTGATTTGCCTTATGTGGGACCTGGAACTCACGAAGGCAAAAATATCTTTGGTGTGACCGTAGAGTTTACCCCGGCCACCACTGCAGCGAATTTTAAGCTGCATTACATTGAGGTTGCATTTGAGAAAAAGGAGGGCATATTTGAATATATGTGTGTTGATGTGGGGAGCATGGAAAATTTCTGGCTGTGCGAGTCTCTGGGTGCGGGATTCGAGAGTACTGAGTGGCGCTTCAAATTTAAAATGGAGCGTCTAGTCAGTATTCTTCATGTCCCTTGGTCGGATCCCGAAGACGACATGCGGATGTGGCCGTAAACCCTTCCTCTGCTCTCCTATCCGTACTCCTGTCAACAATCCGTTTTTATTTTCTTTTTTTCTTTTTTTATATGTTACTTTATCTATTATTTATCAAGTCCTCTTTACCTTCTTACCCTCTTATTATTTGTCACGTCCTTCCTCCTTCTCAAGCAGGTCAGTTTTTTAATGGGGTCTCAAACTTATTTAGTTGAACAGTGGGAAAGTGTGGAAGGGATTAAATTTAACCACCGCGCGAAAATAAATACCAAAGTATTTTGTCTGTCGGGTGTCCTAAGAGAGGGGTCTTTTTATTTCGGGCAGGGTACTTTGGGGTCTTTAAAAAAGATGGGTCCTTTTGGAACCTACTTTTGGTAGGACCCCAAAGACCCCTACCGTCGAAAAGACCCCCCCCCCCCCCTAAGGACACACGGCGGATTACAATACTACTTACACTTGAAATTGCTAACATAACAATTTACAAATGGAATTCAATGTTCTTAACTATAATATCAGTTTTTGGCGCTCTTCAACACACGTTTAGTTTCGGCACTGCAGAAAGCCCCTAGAAAGTGGCTTAAGTTGCAAGACAAAATAAAAATGAAGAAAGAAGACGAAGAATAAGTAACAGTTTCTCAATGGAAGTTTTGTTAATGAGTTTAAGCGAATGCTTGTTAAGCTTTTCTAAGGTCAAAATTGAAAGCTTTCTTGAGAACTTGTCGAACGCCCAAAAAGGACCAACTAAGCCAAGTTTTCTTTAAACTAGCTCAGTTTGGCTGCACTAGTAAAAACTTTAACTGTAACCCTATCCACAAAATTCACATCATCAAAACGAGTCAATCTCTGACTATGGAAGATTATTTAAACAATTTTATTCGGCTTTTAAGGTTTGATGGTTAACTTAAACTTATGCGAACTTTGATACAAGTTCTAAAAACTACCAAGTACTTAAACTGCTTTGCTGAGGTTAGTTACTTTCCTTAAAATAGTTATGCTCATAATTCACCCCCAGGCTTCAAATGCACAGGTGGTTAAGGGCTGGCAAAATAACTTGCGCGAATGGCAAACCGTTGCCTTCGCAAAAATTAATATCAAATTCACATCTGCTGAAAACAACGGAAGATATTGAAAAATATTAAACCACTATCCGCAGACTTGTCACCGTTGTTCGAATGTTTAGCCACTTGAATGTAAATGTTACCAGCATTTTTATCCTTATCTAAATAATTCAGTTGTTAGTTTTTCCAACACGATGTCGCAGCCTTTACACATAATATCTGATTTCGCGAAAAACTTTAGTCCGCTTTTTGGGTCAAATATTTGTTATAATAACCCGTTAATCTCCAACATGAGTTTGTTTGATTTTTAAACACTGATAGGAATGATGACTCGAAGTGATCCACTGAAAAGGAGGTTCAGCAGCCTTTCTACAACATTGGAATCCGAAGCCATCGAGGGTGCTGCATATTTATTACCAAGAAAAAGTATAGTTTAATACAGCCTATAACGCTCTTCTTTGTTATATTTTGTTTATATTCTTAAGTTTGAATATCTCCGCAGTGTTTGCCACTTAACAATCATTAGAAACGTCCCTCCTTACGAAGATATTTCTTACATTTGGCAAGTACCCTTAGGACGTACCCTGGGTACGTCCTAAGGGTACCACCCTTATCTTCTTAGGACGGACCATTTCAGCCATTCAGACCATGTAATATATCGGCCTCACATTCACATAGAGGACCAATTTTGTCATCATTCAATTCAACTAGGTTGGTATTTAATTAATTTGTCGTCTGACGCATTTCAAACAATACCAGTCCATATTTCTCAAATCATGGTCACCTTCAATGAACTCCGATTCAATCTCGAACCGTAGAAGTTTATCGGATTGAAGACAAACATTCTGTTGTGAAGGGAATACGACGTATATAATATCAACTCAATTGAGGCTAACATAGAATTTTCAGCGTTACGCTAAATATTAATAGACCTGAAAACGACAAAGGCTTACATTTATTGTCCCACTTTGGTTTTGCATTACCAGTGAGTGTTAAAAGTGAAACCATTGGAGAAAAAGAAATTTACCATCTATATAACATTGCATTAAACATTCAGTTGCAGCGCATCTTACATAGCACACTGCGTATCGCTGCTGACTTGGTTATACTTTCGTTTTCCTGTGTAGCTGGTGGCGAATAAACTGAAACTTATTTGATTTTTAGCAACAGTACACAAACCTTTGTTTAACCAAACATCAAGTTTTGTGCCGATAGAAGAACGTCTACAATTTCAAAATTGCACAGCGCTCACGCTAGAAACTTCAAACTCTTGTTATAGTCCTACACTACATATTCTAGAGAGCCAACATAATGAGCTGGGACGGGTACATCGATAGTGTTTTGGGCGCCGCCAACGTTGCCTCAACTAACGCCGACAAAGCGGCGATCATTGGACAAGACGGATCCATCTGGACAACAGCATACGGAGGTAAAGGTATGCAAATTCTAGCACCCGAAGCGGCAGCCTTAGGAAAAGCGATGAAGACGAAGGACTTCTCACCTCTGCAAGCCAGCGGAATCATGCTCGAAACTGTTAAGTATCAATTTCTGCGAGAGGAGGACGGAAAACTGATTCAGGGAAAGAAGAAAGACCACGGAGCTGTGACGTGCGCGGCCTCCAAGACTGCCATCGTGATTGCACACACGGCTGAAGGTCAACAGGCGGGCGAGTCGACCAAGGCGGCCGTTTCGATAGCCGAGTACCTCGAAGGAATGGGGTACTAGACTTCAGAAGGAAATGACCAGATGGTAGAACTAAAGTGCTCAAAACAGATTGTTGTGAATTTATCGCCATTATTGTTGAACTTAAACGCTGATCCTTGAGTTTAATAAGAACGATGTATATCGATTAAATTTATAAATTGTTATTACACGTTTGGAAACCTAGTTGAAGCTATATAGCAACGAGATATCGAGATAATAAGAAATTATAGGATTAAAGAACAAAAAATATTAATGCATTATGTGCAAAAAGCTAGCTTTAGAAAGGATATTTTTTTATATAATCTAAAATGGCTACGATTTATGCTAAAACGAAATGCAGCAAAAACTTTTCTAATTGAAAACAGTTTGGAATGGCCACCGCCAGCAATCGAGACTCAAAAGATATCTAAGAGGTAAATTAAACTTTCTAGTCCTAGACCAAGAATGTTACCCTTCTGAACACGAGCACATCCTGCTGTTTTTGAGTTAATTTCTTAACGGAGTTTTTGAGCACACTATCACCTTGAAGAGATCGGCTTTTCTGCTGCAATTAGTCGCTTTCAGCCATCGCTTTTCTGTTCCAATTAGGATCGTTCACAATGATGGAATAGCTATTAGTCCGTAATCCTCTTAGGACACATGCATCGGCAATGCAAAACTAGGACAGACAAAGCGGAGCCCGTATTATAGTTTAAATAGTAATTAAATAACTAACGCGTTTTAATTATAGTAGTTCAAATAATTAAAATACTTATATTATAAGTTTAATTTGAATTTTCAAGAAATTGAGCATGTCAGAATATCAGTGAGTCCAAGAGATGAGTCTGTCCAGCAAACAAAGTTATTTACGGGGAAAAACGTCTAGTAGCCGATTGCAATACTTTTCATTATCGCAAGGGTAAAAAGTTGTTGAGCAATTAACCACGGCTAAATTCCCGAGCAAAACGTGTAGGGCGAGTATTAATGGTCACTATGATGACGCCATGAGTAAGATCTTAAATGCTCTCACACTCTCATGCATATCAGGACAACATTTAAAGTTTGCATGGTACCGGTACATAATACATTTGGCACTACTACTGTACGGTACCGAAGTTGAGAGTTAATAGTACCTTGCCATACGGGGGTCAATTTTTACCTAGGTTTTGAGTATTTGCTAAACTATTGAAGTATTCGTTGATTGAAAAATTGCTTTTCGCGTTTTCAGGGTTATAACTACTTGATGGTTTTGATAAAGTCAATTATCCAAATGACGATTCCAAATAAAGTTTTTCCAGAAATTTTTTTTTGTAGCATGAGCGAAGTCTTTTTTGTCGTACAGTACGGTACCGGTTTTAGGTGCCCGGGTGGACCTCCATAAACCGAAAATGCTTATCTTACATTTCCCCACACCGAAAATGCTTATACAATTTCCTACATCAAGTGTATGGAAAAATGCTAATCATACAATTTTCCTACAATTTCAAAACACCATTTAAATAAGATTCAATCTAGTTTCTCCGGCTATTTGAATCAAATAAAACAGTCTGGTGATGAAAAATAACTACGTTTATTTTTTTTGGAAAAAAATGGTAATATTACAATTTCCATATGAAAGGCAGGTTTTTCAGAAACTTGTTGAAACTTGTTTTTAATCAAATTTAAAGTAATTAAAGTGCTTTTGCTCAATTTAAAGCACCTTGCTCATCAAAAACGAAAATTTAATTCGAATCTAAATAAATTTGTTGGTCGAGAAAGTAGAAAGATTTTCTTCTAGAAAGTAGAATCAATTTTTTTTGGTCGAGAAAGTCGAAACATATCTGGGGGTGCTCAGGGGGGGGGGGGGGGGCTCAGGTGGTGGAGGGCGGTGGGTTCAGTTGGGTGGCTGTTCAGGTGTGGGTTGGTTCAGGTGGGGGGGGGGGGGTGCGGGGGGGGGGGGTTGAGTGGGGAGAGGAAAGCAAAGGTACAATTCCCTATGCAGAAATGTCAACATTTAAGGCCACCATCGAAATCATATATGAGATGACAGGGTCGGAAGTCAGCCAATCGATGGCGCCGAGAAGCACATTTCTGCACTGTTTTACAGAGTAAATCAGTGCAGAAAAGTACTTCTGAGCGCCTTCGCTTGGCTGATTTCTGACCCAGTCATCTCATATATGATTCCGATGGTGGCCTTTAAATTTGATTTTTCGCATTCGTGTAGGAGTTCTGAATTTTGATCAGAAATCATTTCAATAAACATTAATTACGTATGTGTTGAATCTTTTCTGTTTTCTCGCACGTGTAAAATTTTGTTTTTATAGGAAATGAATTTATGCTGATGACAGAACTTGCTTGAACTCGTGGATCAACTGGAGTATGTATGCTTGGAGAATGTTTCCATCAGGAAAACAGGTTTTTTTGGCGTTTGAGACAACTCCTCCCTTATGGTTTTGGTTCATCTAGGAGTAGGCTTAGGAAATTGTTGCTCTCTCAAGAGTTGAGGAGATTCGCCTACAGATAATGAAGAGTTTGAGGTTCCAACCTCTAAAACTCTCTGATTTTTCTGTTGGTTCTCTTCTCTGTTCAGAGATTGCACGTCTTATGGGGTAAGTTAAAACGCTAATTGAGCCTCATTTGAGTTTTCAAAAAATGCTTGTCTTACAATTTCCATAAATGAAAAAATGCTTGTCGTACAGTTTTCATATATGAAAAAACGCTTGTTTTACAATTTCCATATATTATAAAATGCTTATCCTACAATTTCCATATATGAAAAAATGCTTATCCTACAATTTCCTTATATGAAAAATGTTTATCCTACAATTTCCATATATGAAAAAATGCTTATCCTAGAGTTTTTTTACTCTTTTCTGAGTCTATGAAACTGTAGGAAATTGTAGGATAAGCATTTTTTCATATATGGAAATTGTAGGACAAGTATTTTTGATCAACCCGGGTGGTAATCGTGCAGTGCCAACTCTAGCAACAGGTGGGCGTTAATGGAGGTTCAGAAAAACTCATTGGTTTGTATTCAAATGGAGAAAAACTTGGAAGCTACATAATTAAAATTGTTTATTGAGGATAATCCAGAGAAGATAATCCAGAGGATAATCCATGGTTTAAATTAGCATTTTCCATTATAATCTTTAATATCTTTAACTGCCCTTTAATATCTCCAAATTAAGGGTTTGATCATGAAAACGGACTAAAAACTTCCAACTAGTTACCTTTCCTCCACCGGTACATACAAATACAAAGGATGCTCGTATCACGCCTAACCCTTGTAGTTTTGCGACCTTTCACTCACACGCAAAAACTTTATTTGTGCATTTTTTTAAAACATTAATTGAATCTATCCGGTCGCCCTTCAATTGGCAATAATTTCTAAGCCGGATTAATTACCACCTACACCGAAATTTTCCTAGCACTAATTTTTCCAAATTAGCAAAAATGTTTTTGTATTTACAAAGCCCCTGAACTGTAAGAAAAGGGCATAATTATATTTTTAATTTTGAGCTCTGAGCACCAAAATCTTTTACACTTTCTAAAACAAGTTCCATTACAATTTGTTTTTTTTTCTTCAGGAACACGAATTCTGAAAAGGAACAGCTTAGATAGCAGGAGCTGAAATATATAAAAATCGTGCTATCCTTTTTTGTTAATTCCTGAGGCTCTATAAGTGCCAATTATGGCAATTTCGCGTAAAAGCTCAACGTTATATTTCGTTTTTTCAGCTCGTATGCCGCCAGCGGCAAATTAATCCAGCTCAAAAATTAATCAAAATTGTTTTAAGGAAGTTTTATACTCCTTGAGGTAAGCGTGAAAGAACTATAGATATAAATTAAGTAAATAGTTCCTGAATAGATAGCTATTTCAGGTTTGCCTGAAGGAGTATATGCTTAGCTTCACAGTATTTTTGAATAAATTTTGAGCAGGATAAATTTGCCGCGGGCAATATAGGAGCTGAAAAGAAATGTAGCGTGCACTTTTGACTCTAAATTTTCAAGCCTCGATACTTTGAAAAAAAAAGATAGCCGGCAACAGCGGATTTAGGGGGGGGGGGGATTCAGGGATTAAGCCCCCTCGACTCAAAGCTTTTCCCTTTGCACTATTTTAAAATAACAATTTTTGGCTGACTGACCCTTAAATTTTTCTACAGGCGCCTTTGGGAGCGCGCGCCAAAAACACGCCGTTTTTCGGTCAAAATTTTCCAAAAACTGCTTAAAACGCCTCTTTTGTTTCTTATGGCCTGTTTTTCAAAATTTTGCCTGCGACGCAGAAAGTTTGGTCAAAATGAGGTCTTTATTTGGTCAAAATGGGGAGCTCAGAAAATCAATTTAGCCGACCTAAAAAAAGGTTCGAACGTGAATAGCAGGTCTTTTAGAAAACCCTAGGTTCGAACTTGATAGCAGGTCTTTTAAATTTTTAGCTCAGGTATCACTATCTAACATATTCCTTCCAAGCGTGATTCCTAAAATATCAAAATTTGTTCGACTAAATACCATCCGGATTGCAAATAGACACTTAGTTTCTTGGACAAGCCGATCAATACGGGCGGGATTACCTTCCCAAAAAAAGATCGCAAGAGTCAATCTTGACATCAAATTTAAAATTTTTAGCCATGATTTGGATCCAAAACATTCGAGGAATACTGAAGTGATAATTGGTTATTCGGATTAAAAATTGTCTACACATTGGTTTTCAGACTATTTTTGCGTTTCAATCTTGTTTGTTTTAATTCTTAACTAACCTTCATTAGCTAGCTCGTGAACTTATTAATATCACCCCTTCCCTCTCTTCAAAACAAAATTTCGATGTTTTTACTAAAGCGATGGAGCCATTCTGGCTGTTAATGTATTCATAGATTTAGTTTACCCTCAGTAAGAATAAAGTTTTCATCAGTAAAACGCTTCTTTTTTTTCAAAAAAAAAAAGTTTATACTGTGACATATGTCGAACAACATAATATAATATTTTAACGAACAAGAAAGTTTTAAAATCAAGCTTCAAAAGAGTGGGCATCAGGGTGTTTTGATAAAAAAGTATGTGATTAGAAACAGACAAAATAAAAGACGGAAGGTGATTAACGAACTTATCCTTTGAATAATGTGAAGATTATTTAAACCCATTAATTTTTTTTCTATGCAATATGTCTACTCGTGTCAACAACCTCTTGTTCACGTTAGGATCGTCCACAATGATAGAAT